CCCACTCGTAAGAGCCGTGCCTTCGTCAAACCATACCGCGAGTGGCAGAAGGGAGACCGCATCATCATCTCTTGGAACAACAAGTACAATGGACGCAAGGGTACCATCCAAGGATCCCGCCCTGGCCAATGGCCGTTCTGGAATATCAAGCTGGACCCCAAGATGCCCGGCGGGTATCACATCGACATATACAAGATCAACACCGGCTTCCGCTTGATCAAAGCAGGTAACTCTGCAGCCTGGTCGGGACATAAAAAACGCAGCAACAACAACAACAGCAACAACAACAGCAACACGCAAAGCTCGCCACCTCCCGGGCAGTCGACGGCGTAATTGGCCGGCTGGGCCGGCCGGGGATTATATCTATGGTCAGTCATGAGAGTCTGGCTCCGACGGAGGGTAAATTGGATGGAAGTAGGTCTGTCTGTGATACATGCAGCAGGCCTCTCTGGTATAACCAGGAGGGCCATTGCCTTTGCCTGGATCCTAGTCTGGAGGGGAGGTTTACAACCTCTATAGACCCATATTGACATGATCTTGCTATAGTCTAGTAGCTCTACTGGACCTAAAAGTGGAATCGTCAAAGTGAGAAAATGATTGTGTCATATCGAATGATTCGATTCATCAATCGAAAGAATCTGGTTCGAATCGATTCGAATCGATTTTGGATTCCTGACCACGTTTTTTAAAACGCCAACACTACTGCACAAATTCAAAAAGTAGCAGCCATTGCATTCGAGCTTTCACAACACCCCGACGTTTGTTGCTCAAGTTGTTGTTTGTTTTTTGTTTGTAGATCCAAAGGAACGCTTGGCCTCTCGTAGAGCAGCTTTAGTACCTACATGACCACCATGTTCCCGCCTCCAAGACCCTCTAATCCCTTTGCAGGGGATGCTGGATCGAGACCGCCCAGCAGTGACAGGCGAGAGCAGTCCTTGTCGCTTATTTCCAACATGGGCAAGGGCAACAACAGTCGCATGCCTGGATATGGTAGTAGCGACCGTAGTCCCTTGACCCCCCTCGGAACAAACGGAGCTGTGGGATTTGGGACGGGAATCCGACAACGTCGACTGCCAAACAATGATACGCCGACAAGTCTTGCTGGTAATAATAACGGGTTTCCACGAGAACCGATTCAAGGTCCACCGCGTTGGAGTCTCTCCATGAGCATGGGAGCTGCTGAGGCGAATGCGTTGGGTTCAGCGGCTCCCGTGCCAAATGAGGTGAGTCTGGGATCTCTTGTCGTACTATTTCGAATGGTCACTGTCTCTTTTCCTCATCATCACTTTCATGTTGATGTTCATTCTGCACTTGTTTTCTTCGACAGGTGCCCCCACACAATGACAACGCCATTGTCCCTCGTGCTTTTGACGAATTCTGGATCCTAGTATTTGGATTTAGCACAAACCAACAGTATGATGAGGTCCTTGCAAAGTTCAAAAACCTAGGGAATGTCGTCTCTATCAAGGGAGTTCCAATGGTCAACGGATCGAGAAACTGGTAAGGGAATTGAATTTCAGCTGAAGGCTGCAACAGCCAGGATCTCAGATTTGATTTCATGTTTGATTGTCTCACATTCTTCGTTCTACCAGGGTGGCACTGAGCTACGATAGTCAACTGACAATGGAAAAGGCCGTTGGTGAAAGCGGACTACAACTCAGTGATGGCTATGTCTTGGGTTGGCGGTCTCCACGACTCTACGAATGGTGCGTGATTCGGGAACACTTTTTTGCACATCAAGGCATGTTTACAAGTGTTACAGAGCAAACCAGGGGTGCCGATGGAAACATGTCTCGGGTCAACCATTCTGCCTCTTTGTTCCCGATGGAAAACAGCCAACAAAATCCGACTGGTGAATTGAATGAGGCGGATATCTTGATGTCACGCGACGACACTTTTTCCCGAAAGCAAAAGACTACATGCGAAAAGTTCATGGGCTGGGTCTACGGTTGGTAGTCAAATCAATTCATCGGCAATAAGCGACTCGACTCAGGCTCCAACAATTGACACCAAGTACCGGTACAAAGCGATGGCAACACAAATCGAACCTGTTTTAAAGCCATGCTGGCATGTTCCATAATGAAATCTAGCTAGTTTCATCAATGTGGGAGCAGCATCAAGATGTACAGTAACCTTTATTGAATGTAGAGCACACAGTAGTTGTGAAGCTTTGTTGTCTTGCTGAGTTTGGTTGAATTGCGCCGTGCCATAACGAGACATCCATTATCTAGGAATGAGCAGCCTTCTTCCGAATGTCACTCACCAGCGGCACTCTTCCACCAAGCTGAGTTTCCTCACCGTTGATGCTGCCTGGGGGGAAAATGAGAAAGCTAGCTAGCGACTTTCAGGTTTGCCAGAGCTCTTGGGGTTGGGTGGCCAGCAGCAAAGTCTTGTTCAGGTTGTGGTTTAGAGATTGAAGGCCCCCAAAAATGCACCGATCTTGTCAGGATCAGTCAGATCAACATCATACTTGGTTGTGTCGCTTTCCAAGTCTTTTGCTGTGACAGCTTGTACTGGCGACTTCCATTCTCTTTCTGGGGGGGGGGGGGGGGGGTGAACAGTGCTGACACTTAGTCCCCAAACTTGAAATCACAACAACAAGAGGACCAGTCTTGTTGGTGGATTAAACGTAGAGAACAGTTGCTGAAAATGAAGTTCTATGGCCTAGTCATGATAATATACAGGAACTACTCAACAACAGGGAGAGCCTCGGCTGGGCGTTCGTTCTGCTTGGTGTGGGATTGCCACGAAAAGAACTCAGTGCCTTGCCGAAGGCAAGCCAACACGCCCACAGCGTGAATCTTGTGTGTCTCGGAGCGTAGAGAAGACGATGTACTTCTGCCATCATATATAACACCCATACTCTCTTCTGGCAAAAAACAAACACGTTGCTGGACTAGGCACTCAATTCAGGCAGCTTCTCCATCCCAAGAGGCCGGGGGAAGCCGAAAAAAGATCGAATCAAACCCTGCCTTCTTTGGATACTACGGCGAGAAAGTTAGGAAGTATGTTTGGGGCGAAATTCATCCTTTGCTTCCAAGGCCGTTTCCAGTTTCGCGCGGCACGAGCCCTTGCTTGAGTCAGAGTTGAGTTGTTGTCTGTTGGATTGGGTTCAGTCCAAAAGGTGTTTCTGCAGCTGGAGTATCTGCGGCAGGAGTATCTGCGGCTGGAGTATCTGCGGCAGGAGTATCTGCAGCTGGGGTATCTGCAGCTGGGGTATCGGCGGCTGGAGTATCGGCGGCTGGAGTATCCGCGGCTGGAGTATCTCCCGCCGGAGTATCCACAGCTGGGGTGTCTCCAGCTGGAGTATCACCATTGGCGGCAGGTTCACCACCTTCTTCACCGGCCACGAATGTAGGGAAGACTGCAATTCAAGGATGAGCAGTGTGAGCAGGGTGAGAAAGGTAGTGAATCAGCGCCTGAAACAACCAGAACTCCCTTGACTTACGAGTGCTACCCGGAAAAAGTGGAGCAGCATTGGGAGACTCATCGCTTCCTGGCCCCTGTGGAGTGCTGCCACCCGTGTATACCCTTGGATTGAAAAATGGAATGTCTAGAAGGAAAACGAAAATGTCAGGGTTTGCCCTTTTCAGCGAATTGTGCAACGCCAGGCTTAAGATTGAACATGGTTTACCTCTGGATTCGGGGGAAAGTTCCTTGGGACCTCCTGCATCATCATCATCATGCGCATCATCATGAATCTACCCGAACTTCTGCTTCCACTCTTGCTACCCTTTGCCTTGCTCATCATCATTCCCTTGCTACTTGACTTGGACTTGGACCTAGACTTAGATGACTTGGAAAGTGGTGGCAGCGTAAAATCGACGAAGAAAATGTCATCTACAAATTCGCCACCTCCGCCCTTTTGACGTCCAGCTCCTTGGGCCAATCTTCTGACGGTCGGCAGCAAGTGCTTGGAGAAGAGACAGAAACGCTTGTTGGTATCTCTGTGGGGGGGGAAGGCAGGACACAGTATGGTGGAACAGTTATGTGGGCCTACTGATGGTTGTCATTGTTGATGACACCTGTAGTCGGGAGGAGATCGGAGAAAGAGAGAGAGAAGTTGTTGGACCATGCGTTGGCGTCGCCTGTTGGAGTTTCCAGTCGTTAGGCAGAAGTTGTTTGTGGTTTTGTTGGTGGTGCTGTTGTTGGCGACTTCGTTGGAGAAGTTGTTGGAGACACTGTTGGAAGGGGGGACCGGGGGGAGCCCCACCTTTTTTTTTTCCGTTGGGCATCATTTGTTGGATCTGGGTTTGTTGGAGCTGCCGCTGCTAGGACTTGTTTGTGGCGAACTTTTTTTTTTTTTGGTCGAATGGCGGCCATGTGTGCGGTGTCTCCAGTGGGTGGGCGGGGTTGACGGCGTCCCAGTTGGTGCTACAGATGGTGTCCCGGTTGGTCCTTTGGTTGGAGACACTGATGGCATATCGGTCGGAGCACGGGAGGTAGTAGGAGCCAACGAAAGAGTGGGCGTTTCTGTGGGCGTCTTTGTTGGTTCCTTAGTCGGCTCGAAAGTTTGTCGTTCTGGTGACGTAGAACAAAGATGGATGAGGTTAGGTACAAGTTTGAAGCTTTTGACTGGAGGCTCAGTGTCGGTGTCTGTTTACTTACCACGGATGATGATATACTTTTTCTTAAATTTCCTGCTTTTGGACGCCCTACTCTTACTCTTCCCAGCTTTACTCTTGCTCCTTCCCTTACTTCCTTTGCTCTTACTGCTTTTGCCTCTGTAGCCGTCATAGTGATCAATGTGATCATCGTGGTAGTTGAAAAAGTCATCTTCATTGTAGTACGTTACGTCGGTGGTCATGACTCGCATCCTTTGTCTGAATCTCATTGCCTCACCCATGACAATCGTAACAGTCACAGGTCGGCCGCCCATGGCGTTCGTGGCAAGAGGTCGGCCACCACGAATATTGTCGGGTCCACTGTTAAGCCGGTCTCGAATACGATTTCTGCTCATGTCACCATCGTAAGGATTTCGTCGCCTGTTGTGAAACAGTGCTCGATGACGATTGATGGCTTCAGTTGCAGCAGCAGCACTTTCGGAATGCTTGTTCGATCTCGGACGTCGTAGGACCTGACTGCGACCCTGAACCCCCGCTGCCCAAAAACATGCAGCCCACAAAAGGGACGCTATTTGCCTCATTGTCTCTTTGGCTTGATGCTGGTCTTTGTAGCACGGTACGGCACGATGCTGGTAGCAAGGTTTGATTCGCAGGAAACTTTGCGACAGGGCCACACGCAGCTGGACGAAAACAACTATTTTGCAAGTGGAACAACAAAGTGAAGTTGTTCGACGAAATTTGGGTGCTCGATGCGTTGAGCTTTCTGAAAGGAGGTTGCACGCGAAACTTTTGTAATAGTAAAACATCAGGCAGCTACACTGCAGGCTCTAGCTAGAGCTAGATAGTAGGCTACAGTACGGTGCAGATATATTGCTTTCGTAGTGCTATACATGCATAAACAACAGCAGCACCTATCGATCGATCTGTTCGGTGGCTCCGGTGTTGTGCGCTGATCGTCGGAAGTGTGACTCTCTGTTCCCACGCGCAAGCCTGATTTTTACTAAAAGCTTGTTTTACTGAAAAAGCTTGGCAAAAATGAAATTTGAGCCATTTTGACTTGGATCTTTGCAATAACAGCTCACACAGCCGCATTTCTCGAGAGACAAGTGCCTCATACCAGCAAACCCCACAATCGTTATCTCACAAAGCGGCGACAAAGAAACCAAGGCCTGGCCATGGCAACCGAAAAAGACTCGACGCGTCCGCCTACAGCAGAGCAAAATGAAGAGCCTAAGCAAGATTCCAAAATGTCTCGGCTGCAGATCATGCTCATAGCTCTGGCTGCGTTTGCGCTAATTGGGAATGCGATGGTCTCGGCTTCCCATGCCTTCGGGCCTGACACTGGTCACAATTTAGCCATCCACGGAGCTATGGATGAATTCAAGAAGGGAATTCCCAGAAAACTGGAGAAGAAACGCCAGAAAGATGGGAATAAGGAGCTCCCTGGCAGCGCAAGTGACAAAAAGATGGATAAAGCTCAAGACAAACTTGTTACTAAGCGAGAGCTACCCAAATCAGAAAACAGAATGGATACTGCCGTTGCCAAATCTGATTCTACAACAAAGAAGAAACAAGAAGATACCCCAAAACAATCCAAGGGAATACAAAATAAAAATCTTCCCCAATCCAAGATTGCAAGCCTCAATTGTGACAGCTATGGCGGGCCTTCGAATGACTTTGCCAATGAAATGGTGTATTGGGACGATATTCACTCCGATGCACAATATGTGAGCCCCTTTCGGAAGAAACTTGGCAGTCGGCGCCAATACATGACCTTTGAACCGGATGGAGGCGGTTGGAACAATATTCGCATGGCCATGGAAACTGTGGTGGGGCTTGCTATAGCCACGGGAAGAATCCTTGTGCTGCCTCCTCAAAAGAAAATGTACCTGCTAGGAAAAGGAGACAACAAACAGAAACGACATTTTGACTTTGATGATTTCTTCCCCATGAAACAAATGGCAGAAGAAAATGCTGCTTTGGACATGATCACAATGAAAGAGTTCCTGGAAACTGAGGCCATGACTGGCAACCTAAGGGACAAGGAAACAGGGAAACCATCATTTCCACCAGGTAATCGAACTGATTGGAACGGGATCAATCAGGCAGATTATGATGTGCTCCGTGAATGGCTTCGAACGGTCGCAATGGTGCCACTCTGGAGACCAGGGCAGTGCCTAGCAACCTTCCCTGCACAAGGGAATCACAAGAGCATTCAAGAATTGCAGGAAATGCAAGGCACAATTCACAAAGAAGGCTTGAAATGGGAGTCTTATGTGGGTCATCCAGTTCCTGTGGATGCAGCTCCAATTGAGCGGATGAAGGAGAACATGGCAGAAAGAAAGGAGCTCTGTGTTTATAATGAAACCATGCAGGATGAAATGGTCTTACATTTTGCATGCTATCACAAAATGCACCTGCGTCTTCTGGTTCATTTCTATTGTTTCTTGTTCATGGAGGACTGGAGAGAGGATCTCTGGATGAAACGTTTCATGAGAGATCACATGAGATATAATGATGAAATACAATGTGCTGCAGCACGAGTTCTCCGTGCAATGAGAGAAGTCGCCAGAAAGAACGATCCCAAAGGCAACTCTGATGGTTTGTTTGACTCTTTTCATGTTCGAAGAGGGGACTTCCAATATAAAGCAACACGTATTCCTGCTGAAGAGATCTACAAGAATAGTCATGAACAGCTGACCCCAAATACTACGGTAAGAATCAAACCGAAAGCGAGAGATCGAGGGACACTTGTGTTTGTTTCAAGGAATCACTCCCAAGACTGACTTGTGTGTTCTGTCGATACAATGCTTGGCCAAGATCTTTATTGCAACTGATGAACGGGACAAAAAGTTCTTTGACCCTCTTCGAAAGCATTACAACATTTATTTCCTTGACGATTTCAAAGAGGCATTGCAGGGTGTCAACAGCAATTACTTTGGTATGATTGACCAGTTGGTGGCGGCCAAAGGCCGCATTTTCTTTGGCACTTGGTTCTCTACCTTTACAGGATTCATCGACAGGATTCGTGGATATCGTTCTGTCAAAGACAAACTGCCTGGATACCAAGATGGCACCCTACCAACATCTTACTATTACGCAGTACCTAAGAAAAAGTTCGAAATGCACGAGTACGCCCCTTTGCATGGTGCCTTTTTCAATCGGGAGTTTCCGACAAGTTGGAGGGACATCGACAAAGGCATTGGGGAGTTAACAACGGCTGCAGTTTGATGAACACGCACTGCCTTGCAATATGGAGAACCTGAGGCCCGAGGGCAGTTCTCTGTATCCGTCAATTACAGCTGCTGCAACACAGCCAGGTTCCCACATATCACACTGACAGAACAAACCTCTCCTGTTAGTCCTGCCCTCCCATCGCCCTTTAGGTGTGGGTAATCACCGGGCTCGTTGACTCGCGACTACAAAGCTGCTCTATGTCTCTCATCGCGACGGAGTTTGGCTATGTACATATATTTACAGTGAGAGAGATAAACAGAACCATCTAACGCAAGTCTATCGGCAAACCCATCTTCTCGAGGCGATCTTCCAAAGCAGTCTTTTGTTTCATTCCGTACTTCTCCATGTCACCAGGAAGCACTTGGCCCAGAGTGCTTCCCTCTGCACGAGTGAGCTCCTCCGTATCCAAACCTTGCACCAGAATCTGTTTCTCTAGTGCGGCAATGGTTCGTTTCAACAGCCTCTTCTCGTTACGACGATGCCTCACCGCCATGCGCTGATTGTACGAGAGCAGTCGGAACAAGCTCTTGTCTTTGATCATGGCAGCATCCTGATCTTCGGTATTGGGATACTTGCTGAGTTGTCGTTTCACGGCGTCAATCACCGATGTCAAGACTGCCGCCTCATTGGCCGTCGAAATAGTACGCGAGTAATCAAAGTCCGCCAATGGTTTGCCTCGAGTATCATCCGGCGTCATTTGCATCAGCCGTAAGAATTCCAACATTTCCACTGGGTATCGATCGGCGTAGCAGGGGAAATCTACCGTTTTGTCGCGTCCCACCGACGAGAGAAACTCTACCTTTTCCTCCGCTAGCGGATCGACTGGAATGTTTGCATCGTTCAACTCTTTGACGAACGAGGCAGTTCGAGGGGCAATCGACACAGTGACATCCACGGAATTGAAGGGATTCCTCTCGACGGCAAATCCATACAGCAGGAGGAGTTCGGCATTGGATTTGGGTCCGTACGAGATGTAGATCTGTTCCATTCTTCTGTAACCTCGATCCGCAAAGAGAATGACTTCTTCATCGCCCGTTTTGAATAGCCAATCTCCATTTTCCCTGGCATCAATGTAGGCTTGTGAAAATGGAGAATGATTGATCAAATCGGCATAGGGTACCATGGCAAGTGTCTCTCCCTGTTTGAGACTTCGCAATCGAATGGCCCGAGAAAAGAGATTGGTAAACGCCCAGAGCCAGTTGTCATAGGTAAAGCGCTATCGGTGGGGAGATAGTTATTGAGTGAGAAGTCAATTATTAATCATCATGTAGGAATGGAATGGAGTCTACGTTCAGATCAGATGATCACTGCAATTTTATTACGAAGCTCTTACCTCTTTCGGGAATCGGTCTGGGAATTTTGCGAATAATCCCTCTTCTCCTTCGAACAAAGCTTGGTACTCTCGTTCCAATTTCATTTGCAAACTCTTGGTGGCTGCCACGACGGGCGACCCATTGAGGAAATTCAAGTCTTCATCGGACCAAGTAAAGGTGGGATTGACTTCGTCGACCTCTGGGAGGACCCCCAAGTAGGGCTTCCAAAAGGAGTTTTCCGAGGTTCGTTCGTGAATGAGTTGACAGGCAACCGCCAAGTATTCGTTGATATCTTCCGGTAGGGCATCCTTCCCCAATGCCTTTCGTGCCGATGCCTTGGTCAAGCACAGATTTATGGGGACGCGGAGGAGCTCATCTCCATCGTTGATATCCTTGCGAGCCAACAATCCTCGTCCCGACGATTCATTGGTGATTTCATCTTTGGTTTCCGTGGAAATGGCCATGGGATGAGGAGCTTCTCCCCAGGAGGATTGTTCGCTAAGGTACACATCTCCTTCCTCTTCGAGCCATTGGACCAGATTGGAGTTGGCCGTGACTTTGGGATCCCCCTGACCTTTCTTGGGACCCAGGAGACCCTTCATTTTCATGTCCGTTTCAAATTGACCGGGAATCATTCCAGAACTTTCTTGCAAGGCTTTGGCCCATTCCGTGTCGCTGCCATCTCCTCCTGCCATGAAGAACGCGGGGACCGATGATGAATATCTTGCACATGTATTGGTGGGATGTTGCAAAAATGCCATTGAGGCTCTGCCCAGCAGCAAGAGCTGCAGCGAAATTCCAAACTTCATGTTGCTCTCAGATCGTTCCTTTCACACAAACTTTTGAAATGGTTCAACAACACCTCTACCACAGTAATCCAATATGATATCCTTGTTTTCTTTTCTTTAGCAGAGAGAAAGAAAGGCTGTCACAATGATGTGGTTCTGTGGTTGTCGACCTGTCGCCTTCTTCGTGGAAGTAAAAAAAAATTGCCGTTTCCAAAGTTGAAGAAAGTTGAAGCACTGGAACGGGACTGGAGGTTCGTGAGTGACGTCAGTACAAGAAGATCTTTCTATCGTTGGTGGCTTTCATCACGGTTGCACCGAACCGACATTGCTTTCTTTCCTGCAGCAGTTGAGACGATCGAAGCTTGGTGTAGCCATGCTTTCGACAATCAATAGAGGCACAGTTGTGCAGATACTGCAAAGTATCCAAAGCAGTAGTCGCCGGTGTCAGATCCATTCGACAGACTTGATCCTGAAAACCTCATTTTTCTTCTCGACAAGTGAGTTTCGGTACTGTAAAGAAAGATGATGCACTTTATCTTTTGGACAATTCTGACTGTCATTTTAGTCTCCACCAACACCAACCTGCCCGAGAACGGCGGCAACGCCCAATCATCAATCTCCAATAATAGTGATGGAGGCGGCAAGACAAAGAAAAAATACAAGAATACATCCTGGAATATCGTCCCACGCTATAACGGACCTGCCGAGGAAGAGTGTACTCCGGAACAAAAAAAGATTCGCGATGCCATTATTGCCTCACGACCTCGCACGGGATTGTCGGGACCCTTTGGACCATGGTTGGCCGTCCCCGATATTGCACAACCGGCACAAGCACTCGGGCGGGCGTGTCGGTACGGGACATCCTTGTCCTTTCGAGAATCGGAACTGGTCATTCTATTGACGGGCGCCAAGACACGATCCCATTCCGAATTTGATATTCATGTGGGGGAAGCACTCAAGGCAGGCATATCCATGGAGATTGTGGAGGCCATTCCCAGAGACGAAGAATTCAGTTTGGACAAAGTCAAAAAAGATGTCATGCCTCTATTAGACAATGAGCGAGAAAAGGCCATTGCACTATACACCAGTGAATTGGTCGATACCTACACCGTCTGCGATAAAACCTACAAATACGCCAAGGCAACTTTGGGGGGTAAGGATTCCGTGTTGGTGGAGATCACCAGTATTGCGGGATATTACACATACGTGGCATACACCTTGAATGCTTTCCGTGTCCCCACAAAGAAACCAGAGGAAGAGGGCTCCAAGTAACTACAAACAAACAATGCTGGGATGACATCATGCTATGACACCTAATTGAATTTTGCTACAGTACCACCAGCTACCCGTACCGGTATAATGCATTTTTGACTGCTTCACGTTTTTCATTCAACAACAAGAGAAAGTCTGATGACATAAGTTTCTTCTACTAGTATACATTTCATTATCAACAATCAAGGAAGAAGTTTCTGCGGTCCGTGGTGGGAACTTCAGAAACAAGGCGTCCTGCATCCTGCAAGGGGCTTCCCTGTTTCTCGGTTGGCAGGTGAACCCACCTTGGGATCGAATCATCGATAGAGACAGACACATCTATCTGACGAAAGATGTATCCAAATAGCCCAGGTCGAATGATCCAACCTCAAGAATCCTGCTTTTTCTTGTTCTTTTTCCCTCCTTGTCTTCGTCTTCTTCGTATTGATGTCAAAGGTTCCACCGTGACACTGGATACCTGGTTCCAGATATTGTCCTCCATCCATTCGAAATCCTCTAGAATAGAATTCTGCAAAAACTCGCTGTTCCGCTCCATGATCTCAAACAGTGTCTCCGAAGAAGGTATCACAGTCGTGTCGTGTGAAAAGAAAATGTTGTAGTTCATGTTGACCTGCAAGGGCTCGTTGGAACGGTCGTTGAACGAAGTCTCTACCACGGTAGCCACCACCGTTGCTAGATTCGTGTCGTCCTCGTCCAAATAGACTTGCGTGTACAGGGCGGTATAGAATGCGCTCAAGGCACTTTCCAGTCGATTCAAGTCCTCTTCAGTAGGCTCCTCCACATCGTCGTCGGAACTAAAGCCGAACCGCAACGTTGCCTCCACCTCCTCGGTAGGAAAATCAAGGCCTTCTTCAGGTGGGGTAAGCGTGGGCGACAACGTGCGTATCAGAGTTGCGACTAGAGTTGGTTGACCACTTGGTCGTCGAGTTGGGCGGAAGGATGGTCGTTCAGGCTCGGGAAGCTCTCCTTCAGGGGCCTCACTGTATGTGACGCGAATGACCGAGGCCCACACATCGTCGCTGTTGTGCAGATAGATTTCCACATACTCGTTCAACGCATCTTCGTCTGCGTAGATTAGTGCCAGAAGCTCCTGTTGGGTTGGAAGGACATTGGAGTTGGCATCAAAGAAAATTCGAAAGTCCCAATCCACTTGAATGGGAGGTTCTGCATCAGGGTCATATCTAAGGTCTGCCACTGTCGCTACAATGTTCAGGAAGGTGGTGTCTGGGTTGTCGCTGTAGTGTTCCGAAAAGATACCAATGTAAAACGCTGTTGTCGCGATTTGCAACCTAAATACCTCGGCGGAATCTGGCTCTGAAACCTCACCTGGAGTAAACTCATACAATGCCACTGCTTGTTCGTCGGTTGTAACAGCTACAGGGATTCCAGATTGGGATGGAAATTCCGTTGGTATCATAGAGGGTTTGAAAGTCTCCTGTACTGATGGTGCTGCGGTCGAGGGCAAGATGGTTGGCTCTTCTGTAGGGAGAATGGTTGTTTCTGCTGTAGGCGGGATGGTTGGCTCTTCTGTAGGGAGAATGGTTGGCTCCTCTGTAGTTGGCAGGAAGGTTGGTTCTTCCGTTGGTGTTGCTGTCTTGGGTAGGCGCGTTGGCAGGCGGGTGGGCTGTGCTGTTGGTTCCAAAGCCGGTTCTCCAGATGGTGCCTCTGTCCGGGTTTGGGTTGGGGGTGCTGATTCTTCCAGCGAGTCTTCTTCGGGGACTATTATGCTTCCAGTCTGGGAAGGTGTTGTTGGCAATGTTGTCGAAACAGAGGGTAAGAATTCTTCAGTGTAATAGGGTGCTTGGCTGGGTGGAGGCTCGTAAACCGAAGCACCGGTATCCTCTGGAGGAGGCAGGAAGACCTCGTCCAAAGATGCCGTGGGGGTTGGTATTGGCGCGTCCAATGGTGTAGACGACGGGGCTGGAAGCAGCGAATAAACAAGTGAGCAAAGAGTTCGCATGGTAACAATGAACGATGGATTTTCAACGAATTCTTACCTACGTGATGGAGCTTTTGCCCGACCATTGACCTCGTACCCTTCTTTTTTGCCTTTTTGCCTACTTTCGACCGTGTTACGCTTTTCTTTGGTAGCAGCGGTTCATCCCTTGAAAGCACTTCCAGGGTCTCATCCACACTGGACTCTTGTTCCTCGGGCGCATCGGTTGGGGTATTTTCACTTAATATTGTTTCGTCAAATGTCTCTGAAGGCGCGGCCACAGGAGATTCCTCGTCAAAGTCCTCTAGGACTGTCTGCTCCGTCCTGTCAGAATCTATGCTATCCTCTCTCTGTTTGCCTGTTTCCGATTCCTTCGAATTTTTTCTTTGCCCCATTAGTCCCCGAGTAGCGATCCTTCTCTTCGAATTGGAGCGGCCTTCAAACCCCCTTCCTCTGATCGGTATATTATTGTAACGTCGTGCATTAAAAGCTTTCCCAAATCCACTCGTCAAGAACGCGAGGAGTAGTATCTTCGGTACTAGCATCATTTTTCGCCGCTTCAACATGGATGATTGCCGCCGCTGCTTGTGTCCACTCAGTTGCTCGGTGCTCAGTTTGTTGCCATTGCCTCTGGATCAACAGTCTAGTAATGACTCCGCCCTTGAACGTCCAACCAAAAACAGCTTCGCACTGCCTGTCTCTCCTCTTCCTCGTCGATAATGTTCATGGCGACAACCCGCCGAAGAAAGGATCAACAAGGCCAATTTTGTGAAGATCAAAAGCTGTTTCCATGCCTGGTGGGGACCGCGCGCGTCGGTCTATGGGTGGCTCGAAGAATCGAGCCTTGGTTTGTGATGTGACGCGGTGCCCGGTTCATCGCAGTTAGAAATTTATGAGACAGCAGCGGAACGTGCTGGTGCTATTGTTTAACATTCCATTTTTCTGCTGCCAAGTTACCATGAAAACCTAAACTGTCGCTCTCTCGCTTGTTTGCGTGTGCCATAAATACTCTGTGAGCAGTTGATGCTAAGTATCAATAGGCCTGATTTCTTTAGCTCGAAGCTTCTCATGTAACTAAACCAAGCACATGATCCCTTCTTGATTCATAGATGCACCTCAAGGTATTTATGCAACTACATGTAAAGATTTTGGGATCAGTCACTGATCTACTACTAGTACTAGTATGCATTGTATCCACCACCCTTGCGCTTCATTCAGCCAGGTATCCTGTTAGTTTTTGCTCGAACATGCGAAGCGGTACCTGGTACGATATCTGAGGAATCGAATCACTTGAGGAGCTGATTGAGTTGGCAGGGTAATTAACCCAATTTTCAGTGCCCTGTGAAAGGTTTCCATCCTCCATTGCCTTCGATTGATCATCCATAATCCTCCGTTGCAAACACTTGCACAGATTGACGGCGAAACCCATCCTGTTCAATTGACGGACGATTCTCCATTCTGTCCCGGTGGCATGTGGCCAAACTTCATTCCTGCAAGAGAAGTCGATCACACATCTTGGGAAGCGTTTGGCACTTCAATCCCAGTCGAAGTGACTTAGAAGAAGGCGTGTGCGTCTAGCTAGCTAGAAGCTCCCTGGTACCTGACCAGTTTCCATGTGTGGTCAGGTCAACCTCAACTACTAGACCACAGGCAATATCTCTTTGACTTGGCTTGCCTCGTCCTCGGCTCTCTTAATTAAGTCAAGCCTCTTCTTTGCTTATTCTACGTTTGGACAACTTTTGATTGGTTGGTGGTTTCTCGCAACTCAACTGCTCCTCTGGTAGCTAGCTAGACTGCGCCGGTACCATACAAGTAATGGCAATGAAGAAGCCAGGTTCCGATGAGCCTGTGCGCACCGAACCGACAAGACTTGGGTATCGAGGCACAAGAGCTCGGTTCGGTGGGTAATTTCATGCGTAGCTCACTCCTCCTATTCAGCCAGAAACATACAGAGACGAACCGTGATTGCTCACATCTGAGTGAGAACAAAGCCGATCCAATCTGCTGCGAGCGACTGCAACTTTCTGGGACTTTGTGGCCAAATCCAAGTATATCACCACCATGCACATGTTTTGACACTAAACCGATTTTCGGCGTTCTAGCATCTCTCTACCCGAACCCGGAAGCATTCTTCTCCTTGGATGCAACAGTGACAAGAACTACTTCTGGCACCTCGCCCATGCGTGCTTCCGCAAACATTTTATTTGCAGAGTACACGTTGCAACTCCCGAAGCAAAGAGGGGCCCCTTTTTTGCTGCATCGAGTTAGCTGGGCCCTTGTGGCTGACGTGGCTCTATCTTAATGACGAAAGACTATCTCCGTGAAGTCCACGGCTTGTTACTGACGAGCAGCCTGGCTTATAGTGGAATGTCAATTTTCATAGTTGTACCAAACTTCCCTGTTGAAGAGACCCATGTCTACACCCAAGCTACATAAGGACACTGCAGGTTTGACCTTCATGCACTGTGTGCAATAAGCCCCTGGGTGGCATGTTATCAGTCATCTGTTGGGAGTGGATTAAACAGGACATTCTGGTGGCAGGTCTTCACTATAACTCTTCATCGCTGTCTCTAGGGTTGGCCTGGTTGCCTGTCTGTTCTTGGAATGATCCCATTGCTTCCAGACTTCTGTCTCCATCACCGTACTGGCTCCAGTCTTCCACCTCATCTGTCCCAAAATTGTCTGGGATTGCAAATCGAGCAGTCTGCGTTAGTTTTTTGTAAAGCTTCATTTCAGTGTCTGACTGTTCTTCTCTATCCTCCTCATCTTCATCTTCAAATCCCTTATCTTTATACCAAAATCGTGAATATGTCAAATAGAGCATGGCCCGCAGATCTGGACTGACATTCCTACCGCCGCGGTGAGTGATCATGTAGTCAAACAGGAGCACATCGCCAAAGCTCAAGAGGGGCGTCCGCATGTATTCATAATGGTCACGGACATCATATTCCTCATCCTCTTCAGGTTGCGCGTTTATAAACTGGCGCAACCATTCATTGCGCAAGAGAATGTCCTCCCGTTTTTCAGCCAGCCCAGCAAGATTGGACGATCCCATTCCAAATTGTGTTGGTCCATGTTCAGGTGTCATGTGCAACAAGGGTACCATCATGGTGATGGCATAGGCAGGCAATTCATGTTGTGAGATACCAGTTGTTTTGTACAAACCATCAGCGAACAAATAGTCACTGTCCTTTATGGTAGGTACCGGTCGTGTCAAGAATCAATGTGTTAGAGATGGTAAAGTGCACAGGAAAAAAGGAAAGTGATGCACGTGACAGCAACATCATGCTCACCGTATGCCAGTCTTGAGGGTGGGCACCAGAATCTGCCAAGGCAGTCCCAAAGGAATGCAAGTTGAATCTTGGCCCCAAAATCATATCTTTCATGAGTACCCTCAAGATACGGGCGTTTTGCACCACAATAGGATGTGCCAAACTTTGTGGCAAGAGGACTTCCCATCGTCCATGATCGAGATTGTGTTGAAAGTAATGTTCCTTGTTGGTTGTAGTTCCCGTTTTGGCAATGTTGCCATTTTTCAAACCTTGAATAAAAGCAGTGATATTGGCCTTGTATGCTTGTAAAAAGTCCTGGTCAAAGACATTTCGCAGCACCAACAATTTGCACTTGTGCAAGACATGGGCCGCCTCAGCGGCATTGAAGTTGCCATCTGAAGCATCAAATTCTCCTTCCATACAATCGGGATCTCTTACTGTCTTAAGCATGTCCATAACGAGTCGGTCAGCATATACATGGGTATCCTCAATAGCGTCCTGGACAACTTGTTCAATGTCTGAGAAAATTTCATCATTATCATCATCGCCAACAATCAACTTGACCTCTTCCAATACATTTTCGTAGGAAGGTTCCTTTTCAGCACGAACATATGCATGCACAAATTTCCGAAGTGCTTCTTTTCGTTCCTCAAGCTGTTCATCGGCGTTGCAAGGCAGTTCCACCAGAAGTACAACAACAAGGACCCAAGAGAGAAAGAGATGTCGTGGCACCAGTGTCCTTCCCATGGCTTCTCACTCCTTCCAATTTCTCTTTGCTGGCGGTTGTGGATCAGGAATAACCTCCCCAGTGGTCTGAAACCCCTTCGTAAAACATCTTGGATACCGGAATGGCTTCATGACTTCGCGCCGCCACAAAGATCTCGTCTCCGGGAAAACCGAAGCCAACTGAGCTACTAGTACTGTGCGTGCAGCATACCGGTGCTGGTACCTACCGATACCGGTACCGTTACTGCACCAGTCCGGTACCATGGTACCGTCAGTTTGCTTGAAGCCACGGGCATCTTGGGGGTGTGGAGAGTGGATTGCCAAGGCAAAGTTCATACCGTACGCTTCATTACTGTGATGGGCACGAATAATGCACTACTAGCTAGTGGAGGCCAAGAGGCTAGATGCTCTATCTGTTCCTTGCTAAAGTTGGTTCAGTCAGGGTGAAGCGAGCAACGGCATGATCCTTTTGTGTTTATCTCAAATTTCTTTGCTTACTCGTTCCCTTCCTTGCAGCTCGCCACGGAATTTGTTCTGACGGCGTTTTGGTGTCCACCTGCGACTCACTATCGTACCTGCCCAGGCATGTCGTCGTTTTTTCATCTATATGTACCAGGTACCTCAAAGCAACGAGTATTGAGAATCACTCCAAAACCAGCCCGAATCCTACACGGACCGTGACAACAAAATGCATTTATCTTCCCTTGGAACTCCCTCAACCGTGGACCTCCCTCAGGTGTACCCAATCACCAGAACATACCAAAGATGCGAGTAAGGGTTGCAATGTCGGTACCGGTAGATTGTTGCTCGGAACCTTCTACGAGATCCTGCTAGTTCTGAAAAGAGCTGATCAACCCTCACCTTTGAGGCCAGCTCAAAGACTGTAATGATGGCAAGGATCATGAGGTATCTGAAAGTACGCATCCACGCAGGTGCGAATGGAATAGAAGGCTGTCATTGGTAGCGCCAGAACCTGGACGAATTGAGCCAATCCATGGCTCCAAAGCAGAAGGATCCCTCCCGCCACGAGAATGTAATGGGACAACAGAGTGTCCTCCCAAAGATTCCACAAAGCACTGGCATGGTGTTGCCGAAGAAACGCTTGCCCACCGGGGACTCGAATAAAGTCGAATTCAAAATCCATGCAGTCGCCTTCGGGAAAGACAATTTCGCGTTTGTAGAGGGGGCAAGCAGCCCTCCCCACAAGAGGATGGATCTGATTATTGTTGAATAGTTCGGCCGTGAGAGGATATCGGTGCAGAGTCGTCTCAAAATCGATTTGATGTTTGCAGCCCAAGACGTACACATCGGTAATGGTCTTGGAGGCAGCGAGCTGTTACAATAGGATATCACAACTGTAAGACACACGAAACGTCCAGGTCGAATAAACCTACAAATGAACGACAAGATTGGTCTCAGTCTCACCTTACAAATCAATATATTGGGTGCGTTCCAACTACGAGAGATGCAAAATTCCCTCACCAAAAGCAACGGGACGGAAGCAAGAAAGATTGAAAAGTTGAAAAGGGATACCAACCCCATCGGATGGTTCAAGAATGGGACTGCAATGTTGGTCAGGTCCACATGGATTCCAGTCGATTCTTGGCAAAACTCTTGGAAGAAATCTCTCTTGGCCTCGTAAAGGGACGTGAAGCGCTTGGCAAGAGTCGAAGACGAGCGCTTCAGGGCGTGCTTTTCGGTGTAATTTTGCAACCAAGGATCCGTAATGGCTCGGAGCTCCTTCCGTGGAATCAGTGACAGCTCTTGCTCTTGTCCCAATACAAACTCAAGCAAGCGAATTAGGACTTGAAGCGAAGGAACCATTTCCACCTTTCCCTTGGACTCATCCTTCTTCTCCCCCCAACCACTACCCGTCAGCAGCATCAGACATCCCTGCAGAATCTTCCCTGCCGCTAACACCCAGTACAGGATAGCCAAGAGATCAAGGAACGACATTATTGCATGTCAAAACAGCCATTTGGGGGGAGGCTTGGATTGTCGAAATACTCTGGCTGGCATTACATCATTGTCGTCTTTAGAAGCTCGTCATTGTGACTTCCTGCCTCCTGCCGGTATTGGTGAGTGGAGGTTATCGAGACCTTGTACTGACTGTGCACACAAGACTAGTCCACTGTGCCCAATTGTACTGAAGGTCAGTTACTTAGACGAATTCAAATTTTGCGCCTAACTCTCGTGAGTCCTTGTGTGACCGTTGGAGTCTTGTGGAACAGAGGAAGACTTATTCCCTGAGGTGCGCCGTACCACTTCCACAAATCGTCCTCTCTTAGTGCTCACATTTTCGCTCCGTACAAAAGATCGCGAAACGTCCTCAAGTCATTGGATTTCTTCTTCCTACACAGTCAACTAAAGCAAAGCTAGTACATCACCATGTTCCACACAGCTAGTGTTGCTTTTAAAGAATGGCTAGATGTTAATAGTCGCTACCCATTCAATGAGATTCGGAAGACCAGGCAGAGCTATAAACTCAAATATGTTTTGTTGGTAGATGAAACTGACAGGGCAAACAGGTACAGTCAGTACTTTGTGCTAAAGGTAAAGTACCTTCCCAGTGTCATGATTGAGCAACTCATAATGGAAGAAAAAGCTGTGCCCATGACACCTGATATGACCTGGATTCTTGAGACCATGACTGGATGGGGAGTGAGGCAGAGCTCTGAGTGGTACAGTGATGTCCCTGCTCTGCTTGCTTTGGTAGTGGAGGAAGGAGATTCTATGACAAAGAAAGAGTTGTGCAGGATGATAGTTAGACCACTTATGAGGGATGCTCTCTATAATCAGTTTGGTGTGTGGGAGTGGGAAGCCAAAGAGTTCTTACTTACAGAATGGAGTCACTGGTTTGACACTCAGTGCTGGAGCAAGCACAAGCACAACTTGAGTGGAATGGTGATCAGTAGCCAGCAGTACATCATCCACAGGGCTTCTCTCACTGCCTACAATGGAGTGTATGCCTACTCAATGCCTTGAATATGTCTCAGCTCTGAAAAGAAAAAAAGGAAGCAGCAACTGTGAGATTGTTGCTGTTTGTTATCCAATAAGTGTCACAAGTAACAGTAGTCAGACTTACAGTAGCTTGGTACCAATCTGCCACAGTAGAGACTTGTCTAGTGTGGATTTCTTTACTGCAAGTTGGACCAAAGCCATCATTGGGGCCATGGAACTGTTTCCTCTCCATGCATCTTCCACAGTAGTCTCTCTTGCAGTTCTGTGCTACTCCCTCCACAGCAATGACATGGTCGCTCTTCTTGTGGCCACACTTGTTGCAATACTTCCTGCTCCTGAAAATCATTCTCCTTCTTGGTCTTGGTGGTGCTGTGGCTGGAACAGCTGTTAGAGCAACCCGGTAAGCAGCATTGGCAACAGCAGGTGTGAGAGTTCCATTTGCTGCAGCAAGCGCCAAAGCCCCAACTGCTACTTCAGGATTCAAAGTAGTTGGGTTGCCAAAGGGAGTGTTGCTAGTTGTGTTGTATTCAGGCGGTTGAGTGGTGCGAGTCCTTGGATTCGCGGCTTCTGGAAGTGCTTGCCGGTTGGCCCTCAAAGTTCCATCAAGAGTAGCACGGTCGGTGTCATCTGTAGGCAAAACGGCCTGTAAACTCTCTTGCTGTTGAAGTTTGTCATGGTACTGCTGCAGGAGAACGCGACTCTTGTATCTTATCTGAACAACCGCCGACTGGTCACCTTGACTGGTCCACAAGCGAAATCTCCGTGACACCTCTGCATTCCAGTCCCTTTCGAATGCTTTGAAACTGGTAGGGCCTGATGACACGTTTCTTTGGTATCGCGAAGACCAGTCCACGAAGAGATTTGCCTCTTCTCTGTCAATTTCAGTTGCCGCTGTAGCACTATCAGGGGAGCGAAAGGGTATCCACTCGCATTGGTTTGAAAGTTGTCTGAAGGCTTCCAGTGTTGATTCCCTCGTGGTATCTGTGGGTAGCAGCTTGTCTAGTTCCTGCTGAATGAGGATCTTGTTCAAGCGATCATTGGCACTGGCTTCATCGCTCACTCGATCATATATATAAAAAGTACTAGTTTTAGGCAGACTACCTATCTGGTCCGGAGGACCTTTGTCAACGCTGGTACGAATCGAGCCCGAGGGCCCAAGCAACTGAGTCGTTTATGTGGGTGTTCGCACGACACGAGGGGGATAGCATTCAGTTTCATTGGAACAAGAGGATGTACCTCATAGAAGCACGATGGTAACTAGCTAACTAGTCTACGCTCGTCTTTCACCTCCGTCCCCAACGAGAGGGGACAGGTCCTTGTTTCTCCGCTACCACAGGGAATGCCTCCTCGTGGAGTGACCGGGGGCGCAGTGGCCTAATCCGGATTAAGACTAAAATGTGTGATCATCAGTTGCTGTTGCCGTTGGAGCTGTCGATTCGCTGGAGCAAGTTGCTTCTGGAACTCCGTTCGGGCCAGGGAGGTAGATTCAAGCCATCGCTTCGTCTTGTCGATAGTGAATGTAAGGGTGTGGGTTTTGGTGTCCGGGTGGACTCTCCAGTGGTCGACGGGAGGAGGCCTATGGTGCCTTGGGTGTACTGTTGTCGAACCCGTTCGCGTAGAGTGCCAGTTGGATAGTTGGGTGGGAGTGAGGGTAGTGCCATGGACGGCTTCATTTCGGTTGGTCCAAAGGTTGAAGTGTAGGCTCCAGATCTGTTTGATGAAGGCGCTGGTCCAGGCCAGTCCATCTCCGTTCTTCTTGAGTCGTTGCAGGTGGTGTGTTTGGATGTGTTGGAAGGATTGGGAGACCCTGCCAAGTAACAAGTTCCACCAGCAAGGTTGGTTTGGTCGGCGATGGCTTGGCGGATGGAGGTTGGCAATCTGGCGGTGTTGGGTGGAGTGGTGTCGCCTTGGTGCCACCGGTTGAGTGGAGGAGTATCTGTGTTCGGGTCTGGGGTGGGTGTGCCTCTTCTTCATCCACTTGTTCAGCTCCGTCATCTGTTTCTTCCATTCCGCTGTAGCAGTGGTGGAGTCACAGAGTAGCACGTGGAGGGTGTCTTCATCTTCGAGCCGCATCGCGGACAGTTGCTGTGGTCTTGCCACTTTCTTCGAAGTTGCATCCGTCCGACCCCGCAGTGTCCTGAGGCGTGTTTGGTTACCAACGTTGTGTGCCGAGGGGCTGCTTCTAATGCCCGGCGTGGGCAGTCCAGTTGGTGCGTTCCACTTGTCGTTCCTGCTTCGGTGGAGTAGTGCACATCGCGAACCGTTCTTCACGTTGTTTCCAGTGGGCTTTGATGGAAGCTTCTCCCAGGAGTGTGTAATGGGAACTTCTCTAGGTGGAATGCGCGAGTTTCGCGCCCTTGAACTTGATTGTCACGCGTTCAGTGGGTGAATGGGATGTTGGGAAAGGGGTGAACTGGTGCAGGTCCCAGTGTGCTTTTGCCCTGGTGTCCATCTCTATATCAGAATAGCCCATCGGTCCAGACAGCCATGATGGAGGTCGTTTCACGCAGCAGCTCCGGTCGGAGTCGCCGGTGGGTCTCTTTCGTCATTCTCTCTCGGTTTGCGCTCCTTCTCACAATTGCAACTTGGGGATGTCTTTCTACTCAGATCATTGCAATGCTTTGCGCTTCTCAGCTGTTGATTGTTTGGTGCCGTGTTAGTGGGATAAGTTGCTTCTGCCTCCAGTGGTGGTGTATGGCGCTGATTGTGGAATTTGTGATGTGTCCTTTGTATGCTGGTTGTGTCCAAAGATCGGTTTGTGCCTGGTGCTTTCGGTGCTGCTTGGCCGTCACAGCCATTGATCAGTATTTCCCTCGGACCGGGTCGAGAGTCGGATGCACCAGTGTGAGGTGCTGCGTGTTGTACCTCTCTATGCCCTCTTTCGTACTGTGGCCTCGCTACTCTCTACGTAGTTGGCCTCAGATCTCTATTTTTCGAGTGGGGTATTCGATGTGTCGTTTTGGGTGTGGTTCGTGGTTCACTCTAGTTTCGTCCTGTTTGTTTTACTTTCTGTGGTCCTTGCCTTGGCATGTGGGTCTGCCTTCTCGTGAGGGCTGCGATGTGAGCTGTTGTATCGCGAGTGTGAGTTTCGTTCTTTGGTATGGAATCGCGGGTGGTTGGCTCTCGTGATCGTTCCATCATGCTCTGTTGGTTTACCGCGGTAAGGAATTTGCCTTTGATACCTGTGTTACCGTCGAGTCCTTTTGTAGTGTGGTGTAGGGTGGTCGGTACTGGCCCGCTTGTCGTATTCTGTGGTGAGTGTTTCTGTCTCGGATCTATGCTGTCTATGTTGCGTGTGTTGCTGGAGATTAGGGTGGAAGCCTGGTTTGTGCGGGTTGTCGTCATGGGAGTTCATGTTGAGACTCGTGTGCTATTTCCTTCTCATCTAGGTGTGGTTGGCAGTGTGGGTATGTGGATGGGTAGTAAGGTGATCCGCCGACTTTGGTTGAAGGGTGTCGATCGGTGTACACAAGTTCTGTGGTGGCTCGATTCAGCTTTACAGCTTTGTATTTCAAGTTATGCATAGGTGCTCTTGTGATTCTCGTGAGGATTGTGGAGATTCTTAATGATTTATGGCTGCGTCAGCTTATTTTGGAAATGATACAAACGTTACACTCTGTAGAGATTGCTCTTTTGGACATGTTCGATGCACAATGGTGATTGTGTTTCGTGCTATTGGTTAGCTGATAGGTCGCC